ATCAACAGGCGAGGGGTAAGAGAACTAATGACCAGAGTATGTACCAGCTGTAACGAATGTGGGGAACACGCTGTACCCGGTCATCAGGCCAGCGGCTCCCACCTTCAGGAAGTCAGGAACGTCACCCTCTTTAACTTAAAGGCTAGGATATATCAAGGAAGTAGAAATGTTAGCACGTGCTTTTTCGCATACACGTGTTACTCCTGACACATACCCACTGAGCCCTAAAGTGGCAGACCTGGTGCTTACCCATCCAGCCGCCATTTCCTCCCTATGCCCCATTGTCTTTGCTAAGAGAACCCATGTTGCTGAACAAGTAGTCATGTGCTTCAAGGAATCACTAGGCCCATTCCCAGTCCTGGCGAATCCTGGTATTTCCACTCCTCTGGCCTGGGGTTGACTGAGCAATGGGCCTAGGACTTCAAGCTGGTACAAACATCGTCATCCCATTTCTGACCTTTGGCTCCCACCATGTGAGGAGGCGACACCTGGACTTGCAGTCATTCTGAAATCACGAGGGAAGACTTCACCAACATGTAGAGTGGACAGAAAGCCTTGGTTCTTTTTTTTTTCCCCCCCAAGTCAAATGCTTTATGTGCAAGGCATAGGACTTGAGTCCACCAAATTTGCTGCAGTTAGAACTGGATGTGCGCAGTGCTTTTTTCTCCATGAACCTGTCACTTGTTAAAACACGACACAAAACCAAACCAAGCCAGCTGCCACTGAATCATTTCTGACTTGTGGGGACCCCATGTGTGAGATAAGACTCATGCTCCAGACAGTTTCAATGGTTGACTTTTCAGAAGCAGATGGCCAAGACTTCCCTCATTCCAGGGGTTCTCGACAACACTTGCACCGATGCCTTAGCCACTCCCAGAACTGCCCTCCCTCCGGATCTCATTATGTGAGACAGTAAATGTCTTTATTGATTATGCCGCTTCTGACAGAGTGTCATGTTTTGACAAAAAACCTTGATGTAACTACGTGAAGAAAAGCAATTTCAAAACAGCATTCGCCTTTAAAAACTGTGTGTAGACACTGTACTGTGGTGGCCTGTGTCTTGCTCTGGTGCTGGAAACGACGCCACCAGTATTTCTAACACCAGCAGGGTCACCTGTAGCAGACAGGTTCCAGCAGAACTTGCAGGCTCAGACAGACTGGGAAAGATGGGAGTCACCGAAACCCTATGAATAGCAGCAGAATACATAAGGGGGCTTGAAACAGTTTGTGGAAAAACTGAATGAAAAGATAATGGAATTTTTCCACAAATGTTCTGGAGTCCCAGTATACAGGAACAAAATCTGGATGGACAGTTGACCCATTTTAACCTTGGTTCTCTTTGACAGTCCATGAGTAGGGTTTCCAATCTCACCACTCCTGCCTGGGTTCTCAATATCTTTCATCAAGAACATTCCTAAGCACCGGGGCCCAGGCTCCTCGGGTTTCCTGCACGGCAGCCCCTCCAGCCAGGAAGGAGGAACAGGGTGGAAGAAGGGTGCTTTCCCTTTGTGGATATTACACCAAGCACTTTTCCATCCCAGAGACCAGACTCGGTCACCTGGCCGCAGAGAGGCTGAGAAACGCTGTCTTTATTCTGGAAGGCCATGTCTGACCAAAGTCATGGCCTCCATTTACCAAGGAAGGGTTGAGTGAGATTGGGATGTGATTAGTAGTGTCTGCCACAGTTCTCATCCCTCAACCCCCACACAGGCATGTGGGATGCACAGATTGGGGCTCAGAGCTGGCAGCAGAGTTACTGCATACAGCTGGTGGGCCGGATGATGTTTAAACATGCGTGTCATCTACATATGTAAATGAAGCAAGCTGCTCTGAGATCTAAGCTGGAAGGAGCGGGGTGCTCATCCCTAGGATGCTGGAGTCCTGGTGAAGTGACCCCGTTTCCGATGCAATAGAGTAAACCAATCACCTGGAGTTGGCCAGGACACGTTCATTCAGCCAGTGCGGGAGATGGAGAAACATGGTCCCTCTCTTCTCCTCCAGGGGCCAACAGAGCAGTGGTCAGCAGCGTGGTCCAATTCCCAAACCTCAGCCGCTCCTCTACCAGCCTGAAGATTTTGCCACCTGTTCCCTTTGAATGGATTTTGAGCAGCAGTCCCCACTCACTGCCGTACATGGGGAAGCACTATGGTTTGTCCTCACTAAGCTACTGCGCCAAAGGCTGGGAAACTGATGCTGCTTTCTCTTTGCTGTTGTTACGTGCTATCCAGTTGATTTCGACTCATAACGCCTTGTACAGGGTTTCCGAGGAGCAGCTGGTGGGTTCGCTTTGTTAGACAGCATTAAACTGCAGCTTATTCTTTGACTCCTTGAAATGGATCCAAAGAATTAGAGCTGAGACTTGTCTTTCCACAATGTCATTCGGCATGATGCCACGCCCTTGTCACCACCACGCAGCCCGTCCTGGGAAACGGGCTGTGCCCGCCCCTCGTCTGCAAAACTGGCTTCAGCTCAGAGCAGCTGCATGGGACGGAGCAGAGCTTCCCCACACGGTTTGTTTGGGCTGGATCTTTACCAGAGCACATCACCAGCTGATGGGTTTGAACCACCAACTCTTAGGTTAGCAGCAAACCACTTAACCATCCTTAACCTGCCTTACAGTCAAGACTGAATCTACAACACGAGATCACACCTAGGTAAAGCATCAGCATGTACAGTGCCTGGCACGGCATCAGCCTCAAAAGCTGGTTGTTACCCGTTTTATGGAGTAGAACACTTCAGTCCTGTGATTAAAAAACTAAACGATGCTTGCATGAAAATAACCAAAAGGCCTAAGCAATCTGAAGTTCAAAGAAGCAGGAAGAACATAAAGTCCCAAACACTTCATATAACAATGGAAGACACTTTATTTATTTTTAAATCATCTCTCAACATTTCACCTGTTGGTAGAAATCAAAATGTAAAACATGTGCATTTTTAAATGAGCATATATTTAACTATCTCAATCACAGCAGCCTCAGACAGTAAGATACACACCAAGAAGGAACGTGGCCAGAGCATTCCCTATTCTGGTCCGTGAACAGAGATTTCCGCGGCCACAGTCCCACAGCTGCCCGCTGCGTGTGTTACGTGGCATCACGGTTGATCAGGAGTTACGGGAGTGCTGCGGGAACTGGAAATGGAAAACTACAACACTAGGGCTCCTGGGAGCGGAACAGGCAATGACACTTCAGAGATGTGAAAAGCTAGAACATCAAAGACGAACGCCTCAGAATGGCCTGGTGATAAAGTTGGCTGACAGTCAGCTTTATATACACGTTGTCTATCTACATGTGATTGATGTGTCTGCCAGAGTCGATTCTGACTCACAACAACCCTAGAGGACGGGGTTTCCAAGGCTGTCGTCCATACATCTTTCTCCCACGGAACAACTGGTAGGTTTGAACCGCTGACCTAGCAGTTGGCAGCTGAGTTCTTTAACCACCATGCCATTACATCTCCTTCGTGTGATCTGCCAGATACGTAAAAAAGAACTATAGAAGATTTGAAAAACCTTGAAGTCACCCAGCTGATTTGGGAGAATATGGACAAATGAGCAGAGGTCTCAGGATTCAGCCAGACTTAAATCTGCTCCAGAGCTCAGCAGCCGCCTCCTCCCGGACGACCCTGATTGCAGTTCCTGTGACCATCTGTACCTCAAAGCACTGACGGCTAAGATACATTCTTTTCTTAGTTCACAAGGAAGCTGTGCTTTTATCAAACTATTGTCCCATTCCTGCCTTGCACCCCCGAAAGGAAAACGTAGGGTGAGTCATTCACATCAGGCAGTGGGGCGCTGGTTTGGAAGCTCAACTGAGTGTCGGAGATGTCTGTCTAATGGGCACACAGCGGCTCCTGCCCACTTTTAGTGCAAAAAGATCGCAAAGGTGGTTGTAGATGAGTCCCAGAAACAAGCGAGAAGAGGAGGGTTGAGAGGAAGAGTGGAGGGAATCCCAAACAGTTTTCCTTCTGAAACAAGACTCCAGAAGTCTGGAATGTGAGGTTCACTCAGCAAGCGCCAGTGACCAGGGCTGTGGGTCAGGAGGGTGAAGCCCCTGACCCGTCACCAGTTGGCAGTCAGTAGGCACACAGCCTCACTCTATGCCCACACTCACCCTGGGCGCACGCTGGAGGTAGTGTATAATTAGTTATTGTAGGGAAGACGGAGTGGCCTCCACTAACTCTAGAAAAAAAGGACATCGGCTCAGCTCCTCCCCTGGCCCCAAACTTGGCCCTGGGGGCTGCGGTGAGTGGAGACTACAATACGAAAGGACAGGCGATCCTCCCTGGGAAGACAGAACCCAGGACAACTTTATAAATAACTACATCATTCATTTCCTTAACCACTTGGAAACACGCAGCAAGTTGAATATTTATTTAAAAATAAATCTCAAAAATATCTATTTACAGTACAGTAACAGGCATGTGCAAACAACAGAAAGTAGTAAAGCCCACTTGGCCTACGGTGGCAGGTCCACGTGGCAATGCTTTGGAGGGAAGGGCGCTGACCCCGTGGCAAGCATGAGCTGCATTGGGTGAATACTGGATTCGGTGCAGCCTTTCCAGGCCAGAGTGGGGAGTCCAGGTGGGGACACTTGGCTTGGGGTTGGGGCAGAGAAGGGATGAGCCATTGGAAGAGGCCCCAGTGTGGCAGGAGGGCTCATTTCACAAGCCAACAGGCCTCTAGCTCGACACTTCAGGCGGGCGTTTGGAAGTAACCCAAGGGCCCTTCCCAGTCCAAGCTGGCTTCATGGTGAGAGGGGGAGGGCCAAAGAGAGTCCCAGAGATAGAAATCATCTTAAAAATCAAAAAATACAACTGAACAGGGAGTGATTAGCAAAAAGATGACTCTAAACGGAAGTGACCCCCTCTCCCTTGTCGAACAACAAAGCAGCCATCAGTTGAAACATCTGAGTCAACAGTAGGTCGGTAGCTAAGTAAATCCCTTATGGTGTGGCCGGCCCCCCGCCACCGCTTCCAAGATGGACACATCCATCCTCTTCAACAGAAAAGTCAGTGGTGTAGCCCTTTAGCGGGAAGCTGCAAGGTGGGTCTATCTGTAGACGAGATGGGAGAACTGGGTGGACTTGTAGTTCAGCTGGTGGCTGGGCATGAACTTGTGCAGCTCACTCTTTTTGCAGCAGGGGTCATAATGGTAGGCGTTGAGGCAGCTGTCACAGGAGACTTTCGAACACTGGGTGCAGGTGTTGGTGGCGCCAGGGCGGTTACAGAAGCCACAGCGGGAGGTGGCCATGGCGGAGGGCTTGGACTTGGAGTGGAGGTGTGGCAGCCGCTCAAGGCCCTGAGTCTGGCTTGCATACTTCTCCCGCAGAGACACCCCGTGGGCTAGGCTGTCATGGGTGGTGGCCTTGCTGGGGCCAGCACCCAGCTTGGTGGCCGGGGGGCAGGGGAGCAGGCTGTCACAGCGCAGGCAGAGGGTGGAGCTACATGGCAGATCACAGTTCTGGCACTTGGAGAGAGCAGACTCTTTGGCAGGGGGTGCACGCTTGTGGTAGAGGGGGTGGGCGTCGCTCCTGAGCAGCCACACATCGGGCCGCAGGGCGTCCTGCCTATGGTACGTGGCCCTGGGTTCTGAGTCTGTGTACAGGTCCACGTCCTCCTGAGCGGAGAAGTCTGTGCCGCGCAGCAGGCCCGAGCCATTTCTGGGGGAGGACGATGGCAGGTCATCTGGGCTGCCATGCAGGGAGCTGGACATGGTCAGGAGCGAAGGGGATGGACGGATGATCTCATCCTGAAGGTCATCCCCCAGGTCTGCTACCACAGGCTCCTTCCGCAGGCTCAACGAGGCCTTAAGGGGCGGTTTCCTGCTCTCCCAGTAGCTGTCGTAGGTGTCCACCGACCTTGAGGGCTTGGTCACGCGGGGCTTGTAGTAGTCCTTGGCTGCTCGCTCACTGGCTGACTTCTGGAGCACCACGCGGGCCATTGAAGTGCTCAGGTGCTCCCTGCCCTCAGCCCGCCACCGCAGGGCATTTGAGCAGCCGCGTACATCGTCAGTGCTGGTCTTGCGCTCAGTCACAACGTCCAGTTGAGAGTAGCCCTTGTCCTTCACTTGGGAGTGGATCTCCAGCATCTGCTCACACTCCACCTTGGCCAGAAAGAGCTCAAAGGAGACCATCTTCACCTGGAGCGTCTCTACCCGCCCCACGAGCTTGTACGCTGTCCCCAGCTCAGGCACATAGCCCATGTAATTCAGAATAGCCCGGATATCCTCTTCCAGTAACGTCGACCTGATGTGATACATGAACGGGCCTGTGTAGGTCTAGGAGGAGGAAGGGGAAGAGAGAACAGGGTTTTCTCTCTAAGACACTCAACAGGCCGCGTCGGAACATGCAGGGAGGGCAGGAGGGAGTAACCTCCCGGCCCCGCACTGTAGGAGGCAGAAGCTGATGTTTATTGAATGCTCTGAGCACTGCAGTGCAGGGACATGAGGCTGCAAGGCTCCGCTCCACATGAAGACGCAGCCAGGACAAACACGGGTGAAGAAAGGGGATTAGTTTCTAGGGCAAAAATCCAAAGAACAATGAGAAGATTCCTTTCTGACATTTTTACAAAGATCTGAATGCCAGACTGCCAAACTGCCATTAGAATGAGCAGGAATGCCATCTCTGTCAAAGCCATCTTCTTCCTTCCTCCCCTCTTCATTCACCCTCTGCCCTGGCCTCCCTGCTCCTAGCCATGCCAGTTCCCATCCAACAGCCAGAAGGACCCGTTTCTGTTGGAGACCAGGTCCCGCCACCACCTCACTCAAACCTCTGCCCTGGCCCAGAGGGCCCTACATCACCTTCCCAGCTTCACAGGTGGGGATCATGGCAAGGTGAGGAACCATGGGGCTCACCCCGTTTTCCCAGAGTGGCTGAGAGCACAGGAGGCATATATGGTCAGACTGGCACAACTGCACTCAGATGGCCTGGAAGGGGCAAGAGAGCGTGGAGAAGGGGTGAAGGGTGCCTCCCTAGGCCTTACCTTGATGTTCTTGAATTCCTTCTTCCACGGGTAGAGGAAGAGGTTGACACCCACAGTCTCCAGCAAGCTGAAGGCGCAGTGCAGGGCCCCCAGGCTGGCGGAACCCAACAAGCGCAAGGAGCGATCCAGCACCTCATAGAAGTGGATCAGCCGGAATCGATAAAAGGGGTCGACCTTGTGCAGGCTGAGCAGAGTCGAGGCCGCCACCCGCAGGTACTCATCACTGGCAGGCCGCTGCTTGCTGGAGGGGGTGTCCACTTTGCCCTCATGGAACTGCACGTACTTCCGAAATAAGTCATCCTTGTATTTTGTATCCATTGAACTGGGTTTCCCCATCCGGTCTGGGGAGAGGGGCTACCTTATCTCCTCCATGGCCTCTCGGGGCGTGGCAGGGACATCATTGAAAGCAATGACACACGGAACGTCTGGAAGAGCAGAAACAAGACACACATCATCCCTCAAGATGGTCAGTTTCTGACTGCTGGGGCACACACGTAAGCAGCACTGGCCGGTCCCCGCCTGCCCATCCGTCTGCACATTCACTGAGCACCTGCTACGTACAAGGACAGGGCAGGAGAGGCCAGTCAGTTGAGGTCCTTGACTTTCTCAAACTCACAAATGTACGCTGTGGTTAACACTCATGGAAGAAACGTGCAATAAGGGGAAGGGGACTGTTCTGAAAGGCTTCCCGAGGCACTAATTTTTACTTAGACTCAAAGGCTGAAGAACGTGCCAGGAAAGAGGTGGGCACGGGTTTCCCTGTCGGAGCCTCTGCAAGGAGCACGGCCCTGAGCTAACAGTCACTTCAGGGCACTTCCTACCAGACAGTACTGTCCCAGGCGCTTGGCACACACCATCTCTCAAGGAGAGTGGTACACATTACACAGATGTACAATGCTAAGAAAATTGTCCAGGATCAGAGCACTAATAAATTTGGCAGCGCTGAGATCAGAGTCTGGCTCTGAAGTCCAAGTGCTTATCCCCTGCACTCTATATCCCGGAGGCAGGAGGGTGCTTGGAGTGGGGACAGAAGGCAGCTACTGCGGCGGCACAAGTCAAGTGAGCATAGAGTGGACTGACAAGAGCTAAAGCTACAACCACAAGCTTGACCCCATAGGCTTCACAGAGCAGGTTAAGAATTTTCTATTTTAAGCCATGCAATGCCCCTGAAGAGTTTGAAGCACATTTTTAAAACTAGAACTGTATGGATCATGCTTGTACCCGCCTTAGAGCACCAGCGCCGGCCTGCATTCCTCTGCCATCAGACCATTATATAGGGTAGCGTAATGCATTATGTATTGGGCTGCTAACTGCAAGGGCAGCAGTTCAAACTCACCAGCTGCTTCTTGGGAGGAAGATGAGGTGGTCTGCCCTTGTAAAGATCGTCTCCGAAGTCCTAAGGAGTGGTCCTACGCTGTTCTATAAGCTCACTACCAGTCAGAATTGACTCAGTGGCAGTAAGCTTGGGGGTTTTGCATTTTTTGTTGTCAGGGGAAAATGAAGTGTTCTGAGCAGGGGCATACAGGGTTTATATAATTTTGTTGTCCTTTGAGTCACTTGTTAACAGGACACATATGGGACTAGCAATATTTTTGATGCCACAGTGCTAAATTCATCAAGTACATTGTGAAGGCCAGGAGAAGCAACAGAGCATGGGATTGTGACACAAGCCTGAAGTGACATGGCCTTAGTGTAAATCCTGGCTCCGCTTCCCAAGGTTATGGAGGCAAATGACTCAACCTATCTCAACCTCCATTTTTGCATCTGAAACAAGGGGTTGAAGATAGTACCTAGACTCCAAGTATAAATCCAAGTATAAATTGATGCATTTCAGTTATGGTGTTGGAGAAGAATGTTAAAGGTACCATGGACTGCCAGAAGAACAAATCAATCTGTGTTGGAAGAAGTGCAGCCAGAGTGCTCCTTGGAGGCCAGGATGGCCAGACTTTGTCTCTCATACTTCAGAGATATTGTCAGGAGGGACCACATCATGCTTGGCAAAGTGGAGGATCAGTAAAAAAGAGGGAGACCCACAGGAGCTGGATGGGCACAGTGGCGGCAGCAATGGGCTCATGTGTAACAATTGTGGGTATGGCTCAGGACCGGGCAGTGCTTCGTTGCTGTGCGTAGGATCACTACGAGTCAACAGCAGCACCATGCTCCAGGGTGGGTGTGGGGCTTACAAACGACCAGGATAGAAAACACCTCCCAGAGCCCTTGTCATCTGATGCCAATGCTCCAGAAGGTAAGACCAGAATGGGAGCAAATACTTTGTGCCCCCTCATCGTGCCTCTCCTCACCACAGCTCCATGGGGGCAACTTGGTGACTGTCACCCTTGGCAGAGTAACTAATCTCAGCACAGCGCCCAGGGCAGAGTAGGTACCTCATAAGTAGCTGAGGGCTGAGTGCAGAGGGCTCCTGCTTCCGGTGGGAGATGGCATTGGACCAAGAAAAGTGCTGCCAGGGAGTTGGGACTGACCTGGAAAAGCCTCGACCACAGCTGCATTCAGCTCAGAACGTCCGAAAGGCCCCCAGTCCTGACCACCTTTATGAGGCCCACAGGCACATCCTCGCTTCCCCACAGTTCTGGGGAGTCTCCTGGAAGTTGTTAGCTACAGGGTCAGGAGTAGGAGGTGCAGAACTAAGGGCACAGTTTCTCAATGTCATGCTAAGGAAGCCAAACTCTTCAGTAACAAACATGCTTGAGGACAAACCAGGAAGGCGACATAAGTGCACACAGGATAAAGTTCTCGCTCTCTTGACCAGGATCCAAGGTTAGCAGTTCTTCCTCTTTGCTCTAAGCCCCATCCACACAAAACTGTGTTTGTTTCTCTACTCTAACACGTCAAGCTCATATCTACCTCAGGACCTTTGCATGTGTTGTTCCTTTTGCCTGGCTGTTCTTCCTGATTTCCCCTACTTGATCTAGCTTAGATGGCTTGATGATGAAAACTAGAGGAAGATGATGAAATTTGATACAGGAAGCAAGTGTAAACTGCTACAACTTGATGAACTTGACTTTATCTTATAGTTGCAGCAGCACAAAATACCAACCGAGAGGGAAGGAGTCTTCACATCCAGGATCAAGCCTATCCCCTCAGTACACAGGGTTGTCAGGGGCAGGCAACTCAGGCATTGGTTACCTAAAATGGAGGGGGGCTATAGAGGCACAAAGTGGCTGGCTTACAAGCTTTCAGAAGGGAGTTTAGTTTCAGAGGGGGAGGTAAAATCCCCACTGAATAGTTTCCATCTTGTCTAGATGGTTCTAGTGAAAGGAGTTAGGGAATAGGATTCTTTTGATTTAATAGTGAACAACTATTGTGGTAACTAATGGCGATTATGACAACTGTGAAGGTACAAGTTTTGTAACAAAAAGGGGGGAGTAGTAAATCTTTCATCCCAGGACCCTAGGAAAAACAAGAAGGAAGAGCATGAGCGGAACGTGGGATCCTAACCAGAGAAGCAACGACACCAGAGGCAGAGGCCGAGGTGATGGTGTGGAGAGACAGAGCATCTGAGGACTCTTAATGTTGTTGTTAGGTGCCATCAAGTCGACACCGACTCATAGCGACCTTACACACAGCAGAACGAAACACTGCCTGATCCTGGACCAACCACGCTTGAGTCCATCGATGATGCCACTTTACCAATCCATCTCGCTGGGGGTCTTCCTGTTTTTCTCTGACCCTCCACCTTACCAAACATGATATCCTTCTCCAGAAACTGGTCCCTCCTGAGGACTCATGGAAAAAGAAAGGCTGTGTGCTGACAGGCAGGGGGCTGGTTTGCCAAATGTGTCCTTTGGTGATATATTCTGAGTGTTTTTCTGTACATCAAAAAAAGGGGCTGTAATCATTAGAAGAAAAAAAAGAATGGATGAGGAAAGAAAAACTACTGGAGATAAGCAATACAGGGAGGAAGTGGGAGAGGCGGTGTTACCACTGAGGGATTACAAACAAGACGAAACCACTATGTGGTTTGTTCAATGTAACACTAATAATTTACTCTGTAAACCTTCATTCAATTCATAATAAAACACTGTAAAAACTAACGAAAAAAAAAGATGCATTGATCATCACTGGTGACTGGAATGAAACAGTTGGAAACAAAGAAGAAAGATAAGCAGTTGGTAACAGAAATAATGGCAGAGATCACATGACAGAATTTTACAAAACCAATGACTTATTATGGAGTCCTGGTGTGGTGCTGTGGGTTAATGCACCAGACTGCAAAGCCATTTGAACTGCGAGGTCAGTGGTTCAAGCTCACCAGCTGCTCCTTGGAAACCCTACACAGGGTCCCTGTAGGTCGGAATCGACTTGGCAGCACTTAATAACAACAACAACAATGACTTATTAGTCACTGCAAGTATACTTACCAACAACCTAAGCGGCAACTATACATGTGGACCTCAGCAGGGAACCAAACTGACTACCTCACTGGGAAGAGACTGTGAAGAATCTCCATGGTGGTGGTGGTGGTGGTGGTGATGTGCCATGGAGTCGGGGCTGACTCACAGCCACTCTGTACAGGGTTTCCGAGGCTGTAAATCTTTACGGGTGCAGAACGCCTCATTTTTTCCCGTGGAACCACTGGTAGTTTTGAACTACTGACCTTGAGATTAGTAGCCTGACTCGTAACCATGACGCTACCAGAGTTCCTTGAAGAAGCTCCATATCATCAGCCAAAATAAGGCCAGGAGCCAACTGTGGAAAAGACCATCAATTGCTCATAATGCAAGTTCAGGCTGAAGCTGCAGAAACTTCAACCAACTCCACAAGACCCAGAGTACAACTCTGAGTATATTCCTTCTGAATTAAGAGACCATCTCAAGAATAGATCTGACTAATAACCGAAAACCAGAAAAGTTGTGTAAGCTACAAAGAACATCATGTATGAAGAAAGCAAAAGGCAATTTAAAAAAAAGAAAAGACCAAAATGGATATTAGAAGAGACTCTGAAACTTGCTCTTGGACATAGAGAAACCAAAGGAAATGGAAGAAATGATGAAGTAAAAGAGCTGAATAGAAAATTTCAAAAGGACAGCTAGAAAAGACAAAGTCAAGAATTATAATGAAATGTACAGACCTGGAGTCAGAAAACCAAAAGGGGAAAAAACGGTCGGTTTTTCTCAAGCTGCAAGAACCTGAGAAAAATTCAAGCCTTAACTTGAAATACTGAAGGATTCTATGGTCAAAATACTGAATGAAGCATCAAAAGAAGATGGAAGGAACACACAGAGTCACTATACCAAAAAGAAATGATTGATGTTCAACTATTTCAAGAGGTAGTTGTGGTGGTGGTGTTAAGTGCTATAGTATAGGGTTTTTCAATCCGAGGAGTGGCTGGTGAGTTTGAACCACTGGCCCTGAGGTCCAGTGCTTACCCTACAGAACCATACCAAGACTCCTATT